CCGTCGCACATATTCTGGGTTACTGGGTTCAGAGTAATGGACGAGCGAACAATACAATAGACATATTAAAATCACCCATGAAACAAGTTGCATGAATGATCCTGAGAATAACATACCACAAACAGGGAATGAAGGAAGGAGACACAATTACATTAGTACAGGCACTTGTATTGTGTAAGGTTAGGTATAGTCTACCTTTTCACGTGTTAAACAAACCAGAAGAAACCATCGAGTCTATAATCAGGTGTCCCTACAAAGTGGTCTTAGGGCTACCAGTAAGCACACCAATACAAAAGCTATTGGACCTTGGTATATATAACACATCATCATCAGCATCATCATCAGCCTGACTACGTCGTCCACTGCAGGACAAAAGCCTCTCCCATGTTCCGCCAGTCAACTCGGTCCTGTGCTTGCTGCTGCCAATTTATACCCGCAAACTTCTTAATCTCATCTGCCCCACCTAACCTTCTGTCTTCCCCCCTAACCCGCTTGCCTTCTCTAGGAATGCAGTTAGTTACCATTAATGACCAGCGATTATCTTGTCTACGTGCTACATGTCCGGCCCATGTCCGTTTCCTCTTCTTGATTTCAACTATGATATCCTTACCCCCAGTTTCTTCCCTAATCCACTCTGCTCTCTTCTTGTCTCTTAAGGTTAAATCTACCATTTTCCTTTTCATTGCTCACTGTGTCATCCTCAATTTAAGCTGAACCCTCTTTGTAAGTCTCCAGGCTTCTTCTCCATAGCGAAGTACCGGCAAGATGCAGCTGTTATATACCTTCCTCTTTAGGGATAGTGGCAATCTAGCTGTCATGATATGAGAGTGCTTGGCAAATGGGCTCCACCCCATTCGTATTCTGCTAGTTACTTCAGTATTGTGGTTCGGCTCCGCGGTTATTACTTGTCCTAAGTAGACATAGTCTTTTACAACTTCAAGTGCACTATTACTTATCTCGAAGAGCTGTTCTCTTCCGAGGTTCTTGTGCATTAGTTTCGTTTTCTACAGATTAATGTTAAGACCCACCTTCCTGCTCTCCTTGTCTAACTCCGTAATCATGAATTGCAATTCGTCCCCTGAGTTACTCAGCAATGCAATGTCATCGGCGAAGCGCAGGTTACTAAGGTACTCTCCATTAACTCTTATTCCTAACTGTTCGCATTCTAGGCTTCTGAAAACCTCCTGTAAGCAAGCAGTAAACAGCATTGGGGAGATAGTGTCCCCCTGCCTTACACCCTTCTTGATTGGTATTCTGTTGCTTTCTTTACGAAGCACTATGGTAGCAGTTGATTCACTGTAGATTTGTTCCAGGATTTTTATATATACTTCGACACCCTGATTTTGCAGTGTCTGCATGACGGCTGATATTTGTACTGAATCAAACACCTTCTCGTAATCTATGAAGGCTATGTATAGTGGTTGGTTATATTTTGAGCATTTCTCTATTACCTGATTGATAGTATGAATGTGGTCGATTGTTGAGTAGCCTGTCCGAAATCCTTCTTGTTCCTTTGGTGGACTGTATTCTAATATTGTCTTAATTTTGTTAGCAATTATCTTTGTAAATAGATATTATACTATGGAAAGCAAGCTGATCGGCCTGTAATTTTTCAAGTCCTTGTCATCTCCTTTCTTATGTATTAGGATGATTTTTTCATTCTTCCGAGATTATGGTACTCTTCCCGTCAGGATACACCTCGTCAACAGGGTGGCTAGTTTTTCTAACACAATCAGTCTTCCATTTTTCAGCAGATCTGATGTTACCTGATCCTCACCAGCAGCTTTGCCTCCTTGCATGCTCTCCAAGCCTTTTCTGACTTCTTCTATCATTACTGGTGAGGTGATCTGGGTTACTGCTAGTTCTTATATTAAGGTTGTGGTTGTCTCGGCTACTATACAGATCTCTGCAAAACTCTTCCGCTATTTCCGCTATCCTCTGCATATTGGGAGTTATTTTGCCTTCCTCGTCCCTTAGTGCATATACATCCGATTTTTACCTATCCCAAGTTTCCTCTTCACTGCTTTGACGCTTTCTCTGTTCCTCAGAGCGTGTTCAATTCTCTCCTGGTTATATCTTCTTACATCGGATACCTTACGTTTAATAATCAACTTCGCAAGCTCCACCAACTCTATTTTGCCTGTTGAACTTGAGGCTGTCATGCTTTGACGCTTCTCAACGAGATTCTTCGTTTCCTGGCACAGCTTGCTAGTGTCCTGTCTTACTACCGTACGTCCAACTTCCACTGCACACTCCGTAATGATACTCATCAGATTATCATTCATTGCGTCAACGCTAAGGCGGGTTTCCTCGATAAGAGCCGAGTACCTGTTCTGAAGCGAGACTCTGAATTTCTGTACTTTCCCTCTCAGTGCTAGCTCATTGATTGGCTTCTTGCGTATCAGTTTATGTCGTTTCTTTTTCAAGTCTAGGTGAATTTCGGACCGTACCATTCTATGGTCACTGCATTGTACCTTGAGAAGCACTTCCACATCCTGCACAATGCCTGGGTGTGCACTCTGTATAAAGTCTATTTCGTTCTTATTTTCATCATTAGGGCTTCTCCATGTCCACTAACAGTTCCCTCGCTTTAGTTAGAAGGTATTCAAAATCCGTAAATTATTGCATTCTGCAAATTCTACTAGTAGCTCCCCTCTGGCATTTCTAGTACCGATGCCATAATCTCCTACTGCCTGGTCTTCAGCCTGTTTCTTCCCTACTTTTCTCCTCTCAGTATAGTATACTATGTTTTTACCTTACTCATTGCAGATTCCACATCTTCATAGAAGCTTTCAACTGACGCGTCATGATGGCTGGACGTAGGCGCATGAGCCTGTACTAACATCATCTTGTATCTCTTATTGAGCTTAATTACGATACCTACCACCCTTTCATTAATGCTATAGTATTCCTCTATGTTGCCAGCTATGTTTCTGTGGATAAGGAACCCCAGTCCCAGTTCTCTTCTGTCAGCCAAGCCCTAATAGCAAGAGACGTGCCCATTCTGTAGCACTGTATATGCCTTATCTGTCCTCCTAACCTCACTGAGCCCTATTACATCCCATTTAATGCCCTCTAGCTCCTCGAATAGTACAGCCAGACTGGCCTCACTAGATAGGGTTCTAGCGTTAAACGTTGCCAAGTTTAGGTTCTAATGGCAGCCTGATGGATCCAGAGATTCTTAGCACCGTCTGCTGCGTTGCAGATCTGACAGCCACCATGGTCACTTGCTTCACAGCCGCTAGGGACTGAGGGCCGTGAATTAATTGACGAATGCATATGGGAGGTAGTAGCCATATACTGTACCAGGGTGGCCAATCCTTCTATGGTGAGGCAGTGCACTACTGGCGGTGGTCACCGGTGAGGTCGCACCCCAGGCCTCTTAATGCAGTTCCATCACCACGCTTTTTTTAAAAATCCGGTTGGGAACTGCGCGGCACCGGGCTTCGAACCATGGACCTCTTGCATGCGAGGCTGATGTTCTAGCCATTACGCGATCGCTGCCTTTTTTATAACACATATCCTGAGTTAAAGACAGCGGTACTGACTGCGCAAAGAAATCGTCTAAGTCACACGAAAGCAGAGACAGAGATACTCGCTGGGGTGACCTTCCAGCCATACCCCCCGAACCAGGAAGAAATTCTTGTAGAAATCTCAGATGCCGTTCGCAGCAAGATCTCGATCTCACCGCTGCCTAAGACACAATCAAAAACAAACAGAAAGCACAGAGAGGAGAGTGCGATGGCTCCGAAAAACATTAAAAAATAAATAAAATGTTTTGTATGTGGATGCTTCGAGATACAATTTTAAACAGCCTGTTGCATCAGTACTTAGCAACGATAACAACACGGTGACACGTGCATTGCTGTACACGTTCTTGATCGCCAAGGCGGAATGCTTTGCCATTGCCCTTGCAATCGAAGCACAAGAACAGAGATATAAACCGCAGACTCGTAAGAAGCATGCTGTTTCTTTTTAAGAGGCTGCCTTCCCATAAAAATAAGCAAATTCTTAGGTGGGAGAATAACGAACAAATACAGGCTGATCTGGTGTCCAGGACACGCAGGCCTGTAGGGAAACGAAAGTGCCGAGGCTTTTGCTCGAGGGCTCACGAACTGAGCAGAGCCTCGGCAGTACTGTCAGTCCTTTGAAACACTCCAGGAGGAAGATAACCACCCATCCAGAATGGCCTCTCGCGAAACACTTGGAAACCAGCGAGGCACGCGATAAAAATACAGCGCCCCTCACAAATCATTAGAAAGGGGGGGGACACGATTGACCTCTGCAGAATTCGAATGGGAGTCTTTCCCAGCCTTCCAGGTCGTGGGATCGAATCCTGGCTGTGGCGGCTGCATTTCCGATGTAGGCGGAAATGTTGTAGGCCCGTGTGCTCAGATTTGGGTGCACGTTAGAGAACCCCAAGTATTCGAAATTTCCGGAGCCCTCCACTACGGCCTCTCTCATAATCATATCAATCAATCTTTCCCAACCTTTAAAGATGACACAAAATTTTTCCAATGCTGTACCACATTTTGTGGGGTTGCCTAAACCAACCACCAAATTTAGATACATTTTTAGGTCAGTACAAGCTTTCAAACACTTTCGAACAGTGGGAGGCACAGCTCGTAATCTCTGACCCAGAGGTGCAGCTTGCACTTCTGCGTCACGTCAGGCAGGCAGCAGCAGCTAGTGGAGGCCTGGACTTGGGGCCGCACCCATCAAACTCATGACCCCTGTCCCAAACTCTTGCGGATTAAAGTTTTTTCTTCCTTCCTTCCTTAATGCAAGTTAAAAAGCCCCAGGAAGTTGAGCACTCAGGTGTCTGATAGACCGAGTTACCATGGCTTGTTGAACCCCTTAAATCGACCAACCAACCTTTTATTATATTCTTATTCACTGTATGAGGTAGTAATGGAGTGTCTTACTCAACTATCCAAAATGTTTAGTGTTTGGTGTATTGTGTACAGGTTTTACTCTGGCTTTTGTTCTGATGTGTCCAGCTTCTTCGTGGAGTGACAATTGCCTCTGGTGGAGTGCTGCCGCGCATCCAGCCTGAACTGTTGGCTCGAAAGAAAGGCAACAAGTTTGTAATGCCCTCGCCCAAGCACCAGCCCTCTGCACTGCCAATGCGAATTGACAACATGCCTTCGAAATCGCACCAGGCTGCTGTTGCGACTGCAGCTACTGCCAAGCCTTCATCTGCGCCGCCGCCACCAAAGAAAGTTGCAGCCACCGCAGCAAGCAAAAAACAACTGCCGCCGACTCCAGCAAGTCCTGCTAAGGAGAAAAGTAAAGGAAAAGGAAAGGTGCGTTTGATTCTATGCTCTTAACCAGGCTTCCGAATTTGCACAGTTTACCCTTTATAGAAGACGAAAGATATTGGCAGATAATTTTTATACTTCTAAAAAAAAATGTCTGTCAAGGCCTGCATTATAGATTAATCTCTGTAAGTATAGTACAATGCTCCTTATATGTTTTAGTGGGAGTGTAAAAAATAAACGTAAGGGCTGGGAATTACAAGAGCCAAAAAAACGGGCAAAAAAGAAGGGTCATTGGTGAACTGCATTTAATATTATCTCAGTGCTTATGCATGAAAAAACTTCAGTGTTGCCTTGGTCATTTACTCATACCTTATAAATGCAAAAGTTTTCTTGTGCATCTGCCGTTTCATATCTTTCTAATAACCCTATGTTGCTATAGCCAACACTTGGCTATCAAGTTCTGATAGGTAAATCTTAGTTGTGAGTTAAATATGTGAACCAATTCTGAAGGTAGTATGTGTCTGAGGTTTTTCTCCAGGTCCTGGTTGAGGTCGACCTGCAAGGAATTTGCTGCAAGCAATAATATTTTTATACCTTCACAAGGATGTTTTCAAATAAGTCATTGTCTCCGAGCAATAATTTAGCACTGTTGTCTTAGCGTCCATCTGCTTGTGGCTCATAGCAGCCAACCGAACGCTTCGCAAAAGTGACAGTACTCTCAAAAGTGACCAAGAAACATGGGCAGCACAAGAACAAGTGCAGACTCTACTAAGTAATGATGATGGCTCCACATCAACATGACGAAGAAAACAAATTCCAGTCTTAAAGGCCTTACTTTTATAAATTCTTACATTTTAGAACTACATATGTGAAGGGCGCCACCTTCAGACAGCAAATACGAATCTCAAAAATTGTGCTTTTATTTGCAGGAAGTGAAAGTCGGTCAGCACGGCCGCTGTCTTTCTTGATCACTTGGCTGACATAGGCCACCCTTCGTGACGTATCATATGGGAATGGTCCCAGAGTTGCGACATGACAGCAGGGTTTCTATCGCATTTGATCCTATGGGAGCTATGTCAGGACTGACAGAAATCACTATAACGGCATTGGTCACTATAACGGCACAAGATCACAGCTGATTGGGAAGAGCTACACCTTTCTTAATGCATTGAAATTCATTATAGTAAATGTGAAAATGTCTCTTCAGAAAACGTTGCTTCAGGTTTAGTTATTTTGTTTATAATACGCAGCCTCAGCAATTGCTGTCGCCACTGTTCATTTAACACAAAATAAGATGGACTTTTTACTTCCTACAAACATGTTTATAGTATTCATACAATACAGTATCACCCCGCCTCGGTGGTACTAGTGGCTAAGGTACTCGGCTGCTGAGCAGGTTGCGGGATCGATTCCCGGCTGCGGCGGCTGCATTTCTGATGGAGGCAGAAATGCTGTAGGCCCGTGTGCTCAGATTTGGGCACAGGTTAAAGAACCCCAGGTGGTCAAAATTTCTGGCGCCCTCCACTACAGCGCCTCTCATAATCATATAGTGGTTTTGGGACGTTAAACCCCACATATCAAATCAATCAATATAGTATCAGATGCAACAAACACGAAATATACTTAGCATGTGCGCAATCTCATAACAGTGAACTCGAGCCTCTTTGAAATTTCAGGGACTGTAACTTCAGTGCTGGCCATTTAGCAAGCAGTATGAAGTGAATAATATGAAAACTGTGAGACAAAACAGCAACAAAAGTCTAGAAAATGCGAACACAACCGTTTGCGTTCCTGCGCTTTTGAATGTTTTTGTCTAATATCGTCACGCCGTTCTTAATGATAATGCAACTTATTCAATCTTACATTCAACAGTGAACACATAATCGGAACAGATTGGGTGGAAATATTTTGTTTATTTTCAGTTTAGGGCTTATCTTGGCATTTTTTAAATTTTATTACTTCTTTACACCTTTGCGTAATAAACCAGTTGAAAATTGCTTCACAGCTAGGTAGGCAATATCTTTCAGGGAGAATATCCGAGTGAGTGCATATTAGTTGGCAACACTCACTCACACACACACACACAAAAAGTGCCCGGTTCCGCGGCTGACAAGCATATGTTTACGTTCACTCCCCCACAGCCGCTGGCTGCAAACGTTGTTGCATCCAGGAGTTTTGACACCACCTTCCCGTTTTATCTTATCCCTTGCTTTTCAAATTCCTAGCTTATCTCTAGTTTTCTTCTAATGCCTGCCTTTAAGCCCTTGGCACCTTTGTCATTAGTTCCGGTTTTTTCCGAACGTCACGTTGTGGGGTCGTGCATCTCCCGTGAGGCCATATGGAACCGATGTTTGTTTTTATAAAACTGTTCTAGCACCCCTTTCAGTGAAGAAGTTTGGCTGTCTGTGGTCATTTGCGGAATGGCACACAGACTCAAACTTACATCTACAAAGCATGCGAAGGCAAAAAGGTGCCGAAAAGCAGCTGGTGGGCGACAAGATTTTATATTTGAAAAAATATATATATACTGGCAGCCGACACACACGTTAAGAGCCTCTTGCCGGGAGATTGTGAGGAGGGTCGTTTTGGAAATAGCTGTGGTAGGAAAAAAAAAGAAGGCATAAACGATCTGCTATATTTGTCTCTGTTTACTTTTCCCGTTATTTGTTATTGTTGTTTTGTTCTGCCTCCATCTTGTGCACCCAACTTTTGGCTTCTGTATATATCGACAATAAGACCATCTATTCAGTATTTTAATATTAGCCTCTCCACGGGCACTGGCGAATCCCGATAGCACTTCAATGCGCTTGTCTTCTGGCAGTCTCCGTCATGCGGTTCTGTCAATCATTACTGTTTATTTGTTCTACGTATCATCAACAAATTCGCAGCTGTGCTCGCTGAAAGGAAGGCACGTGTACTTGACTGCCCTATAGCAGCCATAGCTTTGCGATGTGTAAATATTAAAACGTGGGGGAGGAAGTACCAGGACAGACGTACGGATGATGATGGGTTGATGCGATACGGGAGACTCTGGGACAAAGCGCTTCGTGTTGCGCGTCTCCTTCCTATCTGACAACGACACATTTCCGCGCGCAACTTCTCTTGCCAGGAGAATGCTGAAGCCGAAGTAGAAATGCTTTGCGAGCTGTGTGCGAAATTGATTCACTCGCTGCAAGGCAAACGTGTGCAGACTCACATCACCGATTACTTCAATTAATAACAGATGTCCTGTAATTTGTGAATAAATGTAAGTCTTCTGAAACTTCCCCCTCGTGTGTTAGCTCAATGCACATGCGCCACTGCACAGAGAGCCCTTCGTTTATTTAGCTTTCATTACTTCAAACTTCTTTTATTTCGAACAAATTTTTGGGCCCCTACGAGTTCGAATTATCGAGATTGGACTTATGATGACATCATGATAATAATACCAGGGACATCAAGTCCATCTTGCAAGAGTAGATAGACTTTAGTATTAGCTGTTCGGCTGCCATACTGGTATGCCATGGCAGCCCTTCAGAGATTGAGGATTGTAGCTTCTAGGCACTTGACATAAGTCAGTAATTTAACTTGCGAATTCTGGGTGTTCGGAACACCTTTTCATGGCACCTCTGGCTCAAGTCACCCACCACAATGTTCAGCACATGGGCATGTTTAGACTGTGTGTCATGTCGGAGAAATATTTCTGGCTACCTTGGTGCAGTGGAAGATGAATGGCAAGGGAAAAAGTTAAGCAGCCTTGTGGGTAGGTAGCATGAATAATAGTTGTGTTTTTGTCTCATGCGCCTTGTTGGCTGTGGGGAATAAGGTGATGCGCGAGACCTGCATACCTCTGAACAGATGAGCATTGCTTTACTAATTTGTTGTTGTGCCAAATAATTTAACATTAGTATGAATGTGCATAGCATTTTTGTTTTGAATGCTGTTAAAGAAAGTTTTTGTTCAAAGCAAGGCTAGTTGGTAATCAGCACTTCATGTTGTTTGTTTTTTCATGGGTCCCGTCATTCGCATAGTTTTGCCATATATTCTTGTTCCTTTGTTTTTTCAGGAATCGAGTGGGGCAGAGTCATCACACACAACTGTCACAGTGTTGTCAGAAAAGAAACTTTTTCTTGGTCAAAAGGTAGGGGCCTTGGCATTTTAGTTTGATGTTCAGGTCACTGGCATGCGTAGGTCACCGAACTCAGTCATGAGTCGACTCACTTGGACTCACTCAGACTCTGTTCGAACTGTGGGTCGAAGTCTGAGCGAGTCTGGGGGAGTAGTATTTTAGTGAGTTGGAGTTCGAGTTAGTCTAATTGAAAAAAATTTTCGTAAATGTGAGTCCGAGTGAGCCCTAAGCAGAAAATATATTTCGTGAGTGAGTTTGAGTGAGCTCCGCAATTTTCACCGACCTATGCAGGTGGGTCAGTGTTAGTTGTTAGTTTACTGTATGCTGTTTCGTTACATTTTATGGTTGCTTGGGATCTAAAGTAGATTGGTCTTGAGGTTACAAAAAAAAAGACAGTTTAGTTTTGAAAATATTTGCTACTATGAAGTTCGTTGAATAAACTCTAACTTTTGCAGACAAGTGTGAAGAACTCAAGAGCCTCTAAACCACCTCCAATAGTTTTTTAACATTTCAAGTAAACATCAAGTTCAGAATTCTGTCGCGATGAACATTTCCAAGTTCACTGTGCACCATGGATGCACCACAAAATAAAGAAAGAATCCCGTGCTTCTCTCGGGGACTTTTCGGCAAGCCCGGTACTGGTCCTGACATCACTTATGTGATTTGGTGATGTCACTTGAGCAGATTCTGTGGAGTGTTTGAGCAAGAACCTGTTGGCGGGCTCCCTGCTCATCTGTCTAGCAAAGCAACAATAACGCCATTCACAGCATTATTAGATTATTGTTATAACTCGGAAAAGTGTTGCAGGCCCCTTTTCTTTCTTCAAGTGCCAGAGAAATGCAGATCGCAGTTAGCTGATGTAACATGCTTTTTTTTTTTTGTAGTGCACTCAACTGACAGCTTTTCGTTCATTGTTGCCAACAGCTCCATAGTTTGAACACCATAGAGAAAGGAAAAGAAAGTCTAGGAGGTAGCCTTGCTTCAATACAGGGGTGCAACAGCTGCACCAATTTGATACCATTCCTCATTGCTGTGCTAAAACCATGAAATTGGCTCAAATCGCGCCATGTTGTGCCTAACTGCCCGACCAGCCTCAAAATTATCTCAAGTGCACTAATTTCAGGGAGCAATTGAGGCCACATTGGCCACCAGCACCATCATCAATCAAGCCAAGCACGTTAATTCTAAACCTTGGTGTAAGTGAGGATCAGATAAAATATACGATGAAGTAAGAAGGCTCATCGGTCCTCTGACTGCATAGGATACCTATCGACTTCAAGACACAAAAAAGAAGCGTTACCGTAGCCACTGACGCCTCGCGAGAAGTATGAATTTTCTAGTCAGCGAACGCAGTTATGGCATGCTAGGACTGTATGCTGTGTTTTCGCACATGAACAAAGTTGACGTGCTGCAAATGCTGTCGTTGCCCTAACAATGGCACGTAAATATTTTTCTGGCTTCAAGTTGTGTCGTCCCGGCGATAGATATCTGGCCCCGTCGCTGGGCTAACGGGCGCACACCGTTGTTACTTTATATGGTCGAATGCGCCTTGCAAGCGAGCCGAGAAGTTGTGCCCTAAACCTAATCCCACCGTGAAATAAAATTTAAAAAAAAGGGGGGGGGGGGAGTGGAAAGCAGTGTGAAAATTGCTTGGCCTTGTTCTAACCCGAGCAAACAATGCTTAAGCCACCTTTGCTGCTCTACACCAGTGTTGTGCAAAAAAAAAAAAAGGTGATATGATCTGGGAGGGGCTGATAGTGCTAGTAAGGGACACTGCACATTTTGTTCAATTACTCATGATGGGTGTGTTCCCCGTATAATTGTGAGTACTAGTATGATAGCTGACGTCTAAAAAAGTTATTGTCAATAATTTAGAGCAGCGAATGACGTTTCTGCTCCTCTTAAAAAAAGAAAAAACTTGTTTTTTTTGTTTTTTTTTTTTTTTTGCCACCCCAACTCCTCGGTTTGACAAATCTCCCAAATTTCAATATCAACAGCTTTGCAGAGCCACATTCGCATTCTCAGTCTCTACCAAAGAATTTGATAGGTATGGCATATGCTAATGAAAACTTTGTTATTGTTTGCTCAGTGGGGTGATTCAGAGTATTAATTTTATTGAAATAGTAGTGTTCATGTTCCCTCTGCAAGATTTAAAAGAGTTTGTTTTGTACATGTTCTTTTTTTCTAAATGCAAGTCTTCTTTTTTATACTGCTCGAAATTTCGTCTTTGATGATAAAAAGGTTTTTTTTTTCCCCATAATCTGCTTGAGATTTGGGTTTTAGTGCTCTAAATGTGACATTTTGCTGCTCCAAAAATTGCTTCATATTTTATTTTGTCTGTTGCACTTCTGTTCATGTGACAGGGAAGTGAAAAAGTTGGTACCAAGCGAATGACACAGTACGCAGTAGCTCAAACATGCAAGAGGGCATTTATTACTTCTTCTGCAGAACAAATGGTCCATCCAATCAGTGTAGCATGGTGCTGCAACACATTGAAAAGTAGAGAAAGTTTGACTTGCCCCGTCAGGATGCCAAGCTAGTAATGTTCACCACTTGCAGAAACCCTTCGCGAGAATATATGTATAAATATTTTTAAGGTCACTATAATGCTGGTTAGGACATTGCCCTCTGAACTCTGTTTTTTGAGGTTGTGCATATCTGCCAACTCTTCCGTTTTTCCCGTAAAATGTACGAATTTCGGCTGTGCTTACGATTTCACGAATCTTGCCTAAATTTTCCCAAAAATGTTTGATTTCTGATAAAAAAATAAAATTTGTAAATTAGCGTGGCCTTTGTGATTGGCTACGGTGCATTGCCGAGCTAGTCATGGAGGCCACAAAAATGGCGTTGTGCTATATTCCACCACCAAGAGAGAACAATGTGTATTGGTGTTATCATCACATACATGCCAAGTCTCCCGCATTGTCTAGGAGACTCCTGGATTTCGACCGTTTCTTCCGTTTATATAGTTGCCTTGAAAATCTCTTGGAAATTGAAATTTGTGTGAGAGATCTGGCCGCATTGACAAAAATGCAGGTCAGTCTGTTCCAGGCTTTTTGTGAGCCCACCACATTTTATTATAAATGAATTTAAGAGGCGTTCATCTAAACGTACAGTAGAGTCTCAGTGATGCGAACCTGCAGCAGATATGAATTTGTGAAATTCCCCAGCCAAATTCATGTGTCCATTGGGCCAAAACTCAACAATGTTCCGAACACTTTTCTTGATCGCGGCGTGTGGTATGAACTTTAGTACCGAGACCGTCTAACGAAGGCCGATCGAGAGCAGCGTGCTCGAAACTTCAGAAATATTCGTGAGACCAGCACACGCACTGTCTTTTACAGTGCGTGTGGTTATCGTTGCCACAACCGCTGTGGACACAACCGCAGTCGTTCGACACGATCATGTATGGAGCCGACATTACTGGCGAAACTTCGAAAGTGTGCGTGCAGCCAACGCTCGTCCAGTCAAAGCTATGGTGCTTTCCGCAAACTCTGTGGACAAAACCACGGCAGTTGCAGTCATAGATAGCATAAAACGACTTAGTTTTGAAGGCACGTGGATTGAAAATAAGAATACCCTTTGCCGCAACGGCCGTGCACAAAACCGCGATCGCGGCGATGCGATAGCGATCGATCTGCAACCTCCGAGGGCACGTGGCTGACGCAGCAATAAATTAAAGGGGGTAAAGACATAAAAAAGGCTAGAAGCGTTTTGGAAGCCAAAGCTTCGACCTGGACTTTCGCGGCAGCCAGCTGCGTCGTCTTGTCCGTTCACGTGTGAAACCATACACGAGTTGTTTTGACGGAAATAGTTTTTTTTGCTGATTGTTTTGATGACGGGTGATTTCGGCAGCATTTGCGCTCCCCCTTTAAGACTCGCCTCAGTGGGAAACCCTACCCTCGTGTATTCGGCCACTCCAAGCCATTATGAGACCCGTTGATGTTTGTGCTTGCATTTAGACCACCCCCTCTTGTTTTTTGCAATGCTTTTCTGTTAGTCTTTTTTCTTTTGATGCCAAAAATAGGGGGAAATAATTCAGCGCGTAGATTCGATTTATGACGGGAAAACATGGGATTATGCATGTCTGTAAAAGCAAATCTATCACAGCTACAAAAAAACGTTGCCACATCCACTATGTGAAATCTATTTCCCCCTTATGTTGATGTGACATTCTCTTTCATTGTTAAATATCATAGCACTCTCTGGTTGTAAGTGAGCATTGCACATAAAACACCATCCATGTAATAACCTGCAAGTATGAGCTAGTCAGTCCTGCAACATGTCCTACTAACACAAAGCAGGAATTAGTGCTTGAAGGCCACTGATGCTGTCGTTGCCAGCTTATGTAAAACATTCTTTTGCCATTTACTGCAAAATGAAAGAAAAAAAAAAAGTGGTGCGCCTTGTGCATATTGAATTCTCTCGGGCACTGGTGCAGCTCACCGTGATTCAAGGAGACATGGCGAGCGTGACAGTTGATGCAGCCATCCATCCAACCAACGCGAATTTCTCCCTTGCCGGGGAAGTGGGTAAGTGTCTCTTTTCTACCGTCTCCCTACAACTCTTTGCTCCCCCCCCCCCCCCCCACCTTTTTTTTTTTTTTTTTTCGTGGTTATGTCAGCTGACTCAAATTTTCATGTAATTTGCTACCAAGTCGTACATCTATAAACCATTGTTGCCTGTTTTACTACTTCACTTCTCTACATTTCTCTGTGGTCATTGCTGTTGACCATGGCATTACTTTTAGTACCAGACACAATGTGAAGCTGTAGAAATAGTAACTGCAGTTGCGTTTGTGAACTTTTAATATTAATCTAAGAATAATGTGACCGCAATTAGTGTTCATGAGCTGATCAACGTCATCTACATGTGGTGACACTACATATAAAAAGAGTGTAAAAAATATAAATTAGTTTAGGGGATCAGCCTGTTTTGTTTCAAGATAGCAGCAGTTGAAAACAAGTACTGCCTTGTGACCACTGTGTAAATTAAGAACTCAATAAACAATTGTATCGGGCCAGTTGGTATGAATCCATCTTGGTAAGAAGCACAGCCACTATTACACACAACACAAGCGCTTAACTTCAACTAAACTTTTATTGCAAACGTCAGAGTTTATAAAGGGGGGGAAAGAGAAAAAGAATAATAAAAGGTAGACAACAAAAAGCACACGTACCAGTCCCATACATTACTTATCCGTTATTGTCTATCACCCCATCCAAAAAGCAAAGTTCTTTCCGCGTGAGCGAGATAGAGGGTGCACTAACACACTCAAAATCATCGCGTGTCATTTCCGCAGCTTCTACTATCAAACGGGTTAATAAATCTCTGTCTCGATATAACACGCACGTGTTATCGAAATAAGGCACACAACCGCACTCCTTACAGTGGATCGCCAAGTGACTATCGGTACCCTTTTGCACTTTATTGTGGTGCTCTTTTAACCTCTCATTAATGCATCTTTCAGTTGTTCCCACATAAACAAGACCACATGACAAGGGCACTCTGTAAACAACAGACTGTGCACACTCAACATATTTATTGCGATGCTTAATTTGGTATCCTTTCTTTTCTCTCAAAATAGGACAAGTTTTTTGACATATTCTTGACAGTTTTTCTGGAGCAGACATGACCACTCGAACGCCCACCTTATTACCAATCTTTTTAAGATTGTGTGCCACACCATGGATATACGGGACAACAGCCATTTTACGCTGCTGCAGGGAAGTGTTACTACACTGCCTATTTTGTTTCTTTATGTCCCTATGTAGCGATTCAGCGACGCCTATAACCATTCATTGCGGGTAACCTGCTGCCTTCAGTTGCAAAACCTGTTGCTCAAAGCTCTTCTTCATGAGGTGAAAACAAGACTTCTTCAACGAATTAAAAAGGCACATTCGTGCAACAGACCTTTTCACTACTTAGGTATGAGCAGAAGAGAAAGGCAACAATGGCTTTTTGCTCCTGGGCTCATAAAGCCAACAAACGTGGTCATCCTGAAATTGCATCGAAAGATCTAGGAACCTGAGCGTATTACCATAGGGCATTTCATGTCTTAGTTTGAGAGGCTGACAAACTACCTCAAATACTCCAAGTGTCAAAACAGCAACACTTTGAAACTTTTTGGCATCACACTTAAAAAAAACCAAATAATCGCCCACAAACCTGAAGATCTTTAAAACCTTAGTTTCCGACAACCTCTCATCAATTATTCGATCTAAGTGATCGGAAGTGATCTAAGTCATTGTGATCGGAAATGACTTGAACCCACGTCGGTGACTACCGATCACCTGCTCATTAGTCACTATAGTGATCACGAATAACTCACTTGGCGCTTGCGTCAGTACCCTCACAACCGCTATGTTGGTCATATTTTGTTACCAGTGATCACAACGTGGATATTTACAGCCACGGCCACACTGTGTCACTAGTGACTCATTCATTTTTTCTACACATCCTGATATTTACCCTTGAATTCCCTGCAAAGCTATTCACTGCACGCATTCCCAAAAATTCTGGATCCCTTTGAAGTCGCGATGTAGTCGAGAATAAATTCGCTGGCGTCTGGATTAAATCGGCTGGCGGTTGGATTAATTTCAGTGGCACTTGGGTTAAAATGACTGGCACTTAGATTAATTTGAATGGTGGTTGAATTAAATTCCTTGAAGGAATTAACTTCTAACTTGAAACGAGTTGAATCTGCGGTGATCAACGTTCAGGAACGGGTTTCTTTTATTGAAAAAGAAATAAGCCGCTTGCAGGCTCTTGAACAAAAAGTAGTGGTTTTTGAACAATCCTTTGAGGACACGAACGTCCAACTTCTTGAGCTGTCGGCTAAAGTTGACGATTTCGAAAATAGAAGCCGACGAAACAATCTAGTAATTTACAACATCGAGGGAGATTCACGTGAGGATTGGAAATCACTGGAAATCAAAATTAAACAAAACATCTTTGAACAATTGTTAGGCATAGAAGTGAAGTCGATTGAAAGAGTTAATCGGGTGGGGAATACCAAAAAGAACGTCCCTGTCTAATTATGGACGGGGGCGTATGACTTTGTAGAAAAAACAAGAATTCTATCTGACTGCAGCAAATTGAAAGGAACAAAAATCACTATTTCAAAGGATTTTTCAAAGAAAGTGCGCGACACATGAGGAAAACTTTGGCACTCCGCAGAACAAGAGAGGGCGCAAGGCTTAAAAGTGTCACTATGTTATGACAAGATGAAAGTAGGTGGGGAACTGTTTGTCTGGGACATGCTTCAAAACAGGAGGGTGAAAATACCAAAATCAGTTGCGCTTGTGCGAAAGCAGCCGAAAAGCCGAGACAAGCAATGACAGCCTTGTACCAAAATCTTGTGAGTTGTGTCACTTAATGCCCGTAGTGTTTTAAACAAGCTATCTCTACTCAAAAGTGTAATACTAAACCATAATCCACACATTTTAGTCATTACTGAAACATGGTTGCGTGATGACATACTCGATTCTGAAGTTGTTCTTTCTTCATACAAATCATCCCGCAAAGATCGAACAACACGGGGGGGGGGGGGGGGTCGCTATAGCTATTAAAAAGAGCCTTAAGTCTTCTCGTTTAAAAGAGATTATTGATCACAAATGTGTGGTGCAGGGTCAATTACCATGAGAGAAGCATATTTCTTGGCTTAGTGTACCGGCCACCAAACTCTTCCTCTGAATATTTAGAAATTATGCACGATTACATTGCACAGCATACGAACTCATGTTCAAAGATAATTCTTTGTGGTGACTTTAGTTTGCCCAGAATAAACTGGCCAGACTTATGCCACGATCAACAAGAGAAAGCAACCTCAGAATCGTTGCTACTGACAGCATTCAGTTTTAATTGTCTCAACTAGTATCTTGTGCCACACGTGTTGCAGATTTTTGTTCGTCAGTACTTGACCTCGTGTTTGTTATTGGTTCTATCGAGGACTGTGGTATTAGTGTTTAAGATGGCATATCCGATCAAAACATTATCCTTTCTTGTCCTATAACGCTATCTCAAACAACAAGAACAAGTCGCACCATTCATTTCAAAGACTATGTGCATGCAGATGACGGTGCCATTTCAGCCCATTTAGCGTCATCCTTTACCACATTTTGAAAAAATTGACAGTGTAAGCGAAATGTGGTCATGCTTTAAAAATATCGTGAGTAATTGTGAAACATATTACGTTCCTCTGAAAAGAAAACGCGTTGATCGAGAGTATCAGTGGATGACGCACGAAATTATACATCTAAAAAGAAAGATTAAATGACAACGGAAGCGCGGAATATCTAGCAAACTACAGAGACTTATTGTAACGTTAAACAACAAAATCTCCATTACTAAGTCTCACTTCTTCTCGGAAACACTGCCATTTTCATGCGATCAGATCCAAAAAAGTTTTGGCGCTATTTGTCAAGTAAGCATTCCAATATCCCTCAGCTTTCATTGGGCCATCGAATAATCACCAAAGCAGACCAAATAGCAGATAAATTGAACGTTTCTTTTTTTCATTCCACCTTTACGCATGGGTCTTCTGGAGGAAATTCGCCATCATATTCTTCATTTGAACCTGTGTCAGAAATAAATATAAATCTAGAAGGTCTCCACTGCTTACTACAAAAACTTGATGCCAAGAAGTCCCCTGGCCCAGATAACATTTCAAACACTTTACTTGAAAAATATGCTGAGTGGGTGAGTCAATATTTATATAAAATATACATTAGCTCCCTATCTCCACACACGATCCCAGATGATTGGCGCACGGCTAAGGTCATCCCCATACATAAATCCGGATCTAAAGATGAAGCTACCAATTACCGCCCAGTTTCTTTAACAAGCACGCGCTGCAAAATATTATAGCATATAATTTTTAAAGGTATTATAGCTCACTTAGAGGATAACAACCTGCTCTACTCTAGACAACACAGATTTAGATCTGGCCTGGCAACAGTTACACGGCTAGCCAAGATGACCAACAACATTGCAAATGCACTCAACACAACAGGACAAATAGATGCCGCTTTTCTGGACTTTGCAAAAGTCTTTGATGTCGTTTTCTGCCATGACATCATAATGAAAATGCAAGCAATTGGTACTGAACATAAAGCTATTCAATGGGTAATGTCATACTTAAAAAATCGCAAACAATTCCCTTCCGTGAACGACATTATCTCAAGCAGCCTAGACGCCTTGTCAGGAGTACCACAGGGATCCGATTAATGCCGATTCTATTTCTTATCTATATTAATAGTTTTATTTTTTTTTAATCGACCCATCTATTCAACTAAGGCTTTTCGCAGATGACTGCGTCGTATACATGACGATAAGTCAAATTGAGGACCAGCTTCACCTTATTCACTCGCTACAAAAAATTCAGGCATGGTGCTCGGAATGGGGAATGACACTAAACGCAAGGAAAACGGTAGCCATAAGTTGTACAAACAAGAAAAAGCCTCTTAACTTTACATACAAATTAGGAAATTTGGAAATCAATAAAAGTAACCAAGTAAAATACTTGGGAGTTACATTAACATCCAATCTCAGATGGGAACCACATATAGTGACTATTTGTGCGAAAGCACAAAGAAAGCTGTCGTTTGTCAAAAGAAGACTAAGGAATGCGCCTTCTGAGATTAAAATTACCGTATATAAGACAATAATTAGACCAGCACTTGACTATGCCGACATAATTTGGAGTCCCCATCACAAATTTCTCATGAAAAAAATTGAGCGAGTTCAAAATTTCGCAGTCCGATTTGTGTTTTCAAATTATTCCTGGCATACCAGTGTTACAGCTGTGCGCAAAAAAGCTGAGCTGTGTTGTCTTGATCAACGCAGAATAATTTCCAAACTTAAATTTCTGTATCATCTGTTTAAGGAGCATTATAAAATATCCGGAACATCTCCTTCAAGTCCTCAGACACTCCTCAAGAACTAACCACAAGAAGACAATACGGCTGCCTAAAAGTCACATTGACATTCAGAAAAACTCTGTTTTCCTATCATCAATAGCATACTGGAATAGTCTACCATTATATGCGGTGGACTGTGAAACGGTAGAATCTTTTGCTCAAGAAATCAGCAATATTCTTTGTTCTGGTTAGTGCATTACATTTTGTATTGTGCTCGCATGTGATATAAATTAACAACCATCCAGCATTGAACTGATTTTTTTAATGTTTTAATGAGATAGTCACTTTTGACAGAATTGTAACAATTTTCTGTATTAGTACCACTCCTGCTTGGACCGAAAAGGTCTGCAGTATATTGTTGCGAAAGGAAACGATAGAGAGGAACTCGTAGTGGACGATTGTTTACTCAGCCACAGCAGCCATTCACTTCCTCGCTCTCCTCTTCTGCCACCAACACAGCGTGGCATTACCCTCTTTCTAAAGAAAAAAAAAGAATAAGAAGCATCGAATGAATGTCGTGGCTCCGAAAAACAGTGAAAGGTAGTAAAAAATGTGTGTGTCCATTGAGAAGAAAAAGGACGAGATAAAAAAAAAGGGAGCGAGAAATAATTGTACAATTGTCTTGAAGGCAAGTGCCACATCACAAAGTTCTTGACTTGCAGTCAACGCGAATAGTCGGGCTTCATCCCGGAGACATGAACGACATTCGAGGAGCATGGTCTACGAGAACAGTGCAACATGTCTGCTGGGACAACTTCGTAGTTCACTTCCCCGAGGCAATGAAGAACTCGGTAGGGTCCGCAGTACGGACATAACAATTTTTCTGAGCGTCCGCGTTGATTTATAAGAGTCCAAGCCTAGACTAGGTTACCAGGTTCGTATATTACTGCTCTGTGGTGGATGTTGTACCAGCAAGCATCTTGATTTTGCTGCCATAAAATGCTAAAGCGCGCCAGCTGCCGGGCGTCTTCGGCATGCTGAACAAATACATCTGTTTCCGGGGTAATCATGTCCGGCAGAGTTGGTTGCAGCATGGTGTCAAGCATTGTGGTGACGTCTTGTCCGTAAACTAGACGAAAAGGAGCAAAGCCGGTGGTTTCCTGCAGTGCCGTATTGTAGGCAAATGTTATATACGGGAGAATTTCATCCCAATTTTTCTGATCCTTGGCGACATACATCGAAAGCATATCTGCAATCGTTTTGTTAAGGCGTTCGGTTAACCTGTTAGTCTGCGGGTGCTACGTAGTTGCTGTTCAATGCGTCGTGCCGCTCAGCAACAGGATCTCTCTGAGCAACTGTGTCGTAAAAGCAGTACCACGATCTGTGATGACGACAGCGGAAGCACCTTGGCAGAGAAAGATGTTCTTGATAAAAAAGTCAGCCACATCGGAAGCAGTTGCTCGCTGGGCGGCTTGTGTTTCGCAGTATCTGGCCAAGTAGTCGGTGGCAGCCACAATCCAGCGGTTACCAGCTGTAGACTTCGGAAATGGGCCGAGTAAATCTATCCCAACCTTTTCAAAAGGTGCGTGAGGGGGTTGTGAAGGCTGAAGCAGACCGGCTGGTTTCGTCGTTAAATTTTTTCGGCGCTGGCAGGCTGTGCATGTCTTGACGTACTGCCGGACGGTTTTCGTAAGTTTCTGCCAGTAGTATTTGTCCTTGATCCGCGGCAGAGTACGTGCGTAACCAAGATGCCCCGACGATGGCTCGTCGTGACAAGCACGCAAAAAATCATTGCGGAGAGCAGCAGGAACGACGACAAGGTAAATTGTTCTCGTTGAATGAAAGTTGCACTTGTAGAGGATGTCTTGGCATAGACAGAAAGATTACAAATCACGTGCAAACTGACGGGGGGGTTGTGGGCGATGTCCCTCAAGTTATTCAATCAGTGGTTTTAGTTCTAAGTCTTCGCGTTGCTGCTCAGCCACGTTTGAGATGTGAGAATAGCAAGGCAGCTGAAGTCTTCATCGTCTTCTGCAGCAATCTCGACGGGTGCGCAGGAAACACAGTCAGCGTCTGTGTGCTTCTGGCCAGACTTGTGAACCATCGTTATATTGAATTCCTGTAACCGAAGGCTCCATCTTGCGAGACGGCCCGAAGGATCTTTCAGATTCGCTAGCCAGCAGAAAGAGTGGTGGTCACTGACGATTCGGAAGGGGCGTCCGTACAAGTAGGGCCTGAATTTCGTTATGGCCCATACAACTGCCAGACATTCTTTTTCAGTCGTCGAGTAGTTCTTCTCCGCAGATGACAACGTGCGGCTAGCGTAGGCGATGACGCGTTCCACGCCATCTTGATATTGCACGAGAATAGCTCCGAGGCCAAGGCTACTCGCGTCAGTGCGGACTTCTGTGTCTGCTTCGGTGTCGAAGTGACCAAGGATCGGCGGCGTTTGTAGGTATTGTTGAAGGTCGCGGAAAGTGTCAGATTGTTTGCGACCCCAGACGAAGGTGACGTCGTCTTTGGCGAGTTGTTGTAGAGTGTCGGCGATTTTAGAAAAATTCAGCACGAAGAGGTGGTAATAAGCACAAAGGGCCAGAAAGCGGTGTACATCATGCTTTGTTCTCTGTATCAGTAACAAAGCAACTGCCATAGCCTTCTCAGGGTTGGGGCGAACACCACTGCTGCTGACAATGTAGCCAAGAAATTTGAGTTACTCATATCCAAAATAACACTTTTCCGGTTTCAGAGAGAGGCTGGCAGTGCGAATAGCCAGAAGAACTGCCTCAAGCCGCTCAATGTGCTGTTCAAAAGTCCTAGAAAAAACGACTACGCTGTATAAATACACTCAACAAGAGTGCCACTTCAGGTCACATAAAACTGTGTCCATCATTTGTTGGAATGTGGCTGGAGTGGAGCACAGGCCAAAAGGGAGAACTTTAAATTCATAGAGACCGTCAGGTGTAATAAACGCTGTTTTTTCTCAGTCCCGTTCATCTACTTCAATCTGCCAATATCCGCTACGGAGATCCATGGAAGAGAAGTAACAAGCGTGTGGCAGGCGATCCAAGGAATCATCAATGCGAGGGAGAGGGTATATGTCTTTTTTCGTTATCTTGTTCAGTTTGCGGTAGTCGACGCAGAATTATAGTGAACCATCTTTCTTTTTAACCAGAACAACTGGTGATGCCCAAGGACTAGTCGATGGTTTAATTACGTCATCGTCGAGCATTTGTTTTTTCACTTGATGACGGATGGCATCCTGCTCCTTCTGGGACACGCTGTAAGCATGGTGGCGCACTGGTTGGATGTTGGGCTCAGTGATAATTCTGTGCTTCATTAGAGGGGTCTGCCGGAATTTCAACGTAGTGGCAAAACAGTCACTAAAGGATGAGAAGAAACTGAGGAGCCTTGCCCTCTTAGGTTCTTCTAATTGACGATTGACGTTGAGGTGACTAGTCACGTCAGTATCGCAGCTGTTCTCAGTCGAGATCGTCGTAATCAAAGGGAAGGCGTTCAAATCATCCAATGCCTTCAAGTAAGCTATGGTCGTGCGAAATAAAATAAATAAAAATAAAATAAACAAAAATCAAGTTTTGCGTGCTTTCATTGCTTTCACACAGCGAAACCGAAATCATGGAAAGGTGTCGCCAGTGAGTGTTGCCACAGACTGCGCGACACACTGAAGCTCTAAATCAGTCATGTTCATCACCAGGTCACCAGGAGGTGGCACAATTATTTCCAATACTTCTTTCAAGGCTACATTTCCCATTGAGCATTCATCATCATTATGGCGTGAAAACAAGCAGAGGATTTAAAACGTACCTGTATGACAAACACACTTCGCGACAGAAAACTGCTGTTGTACATGTACGGCAAAGACACTCAAAAGGTCAAAAGAAAATAAGGGTTTCAAATGCAAGTGGGTGAAGCAGGGCTCCACTGACCTCAGCAGCCTGCCGTGCCAGATCGTGGAGTGCCCATTAGGCCTCCTTTTTTTTTGCTGGCGAGTAAGGTCTCCCACTGCTCCGTTTTTAATTTTAGCACTGGCATCTGAGGCGTGTTAATTTTGGGTGGCCTTAATTCACATTTCCTCGTAATGTGAGCAAGAGTTCACTGTCCTCCACACCACGGACAACTACTAGCGTTTCTAGTTGAGTGAAAAAGTTTGGATGTCTTTCTGTGTACTCTTGGATGCCATTAAAAGGTTGCTTTGAGCAGTTAAAAAAATGGTTATAGTGTGTGGTACTTGACCCCTCCACCTTTAGTGTCATGTTCATGAAGTTGTTACCGATTTCAGTTTTGCTTCACATGTTGGCAGCTATGTTGGTGGATCAACTTTGAAGGTAAAGTCATACAAAAAGTTTTTGCTTCAGCTTTGCAAATCAAAATACCAGTCTTTGGCTTTTTCTTTGTCATTTTAACAATAGGATAAAGTATAGGATAGTTTTACCATTGGAAAGGTATTCATTGGCCTATATAGTTTGAGAATAAGAGCAGTTTCAGTATTTATCAATGCCACATGCTGTGGTGTGGCATGTCATACAGCATTATTCTGTCTCTTTCCTCAGGCCAAGTACTGGAGAAGGCAGGTGGCAAGGAGTTCCAGCAGGAAGTCAAAGAGCTGCTGGCATCTCATGGGCCTCTGGAGAGTGCTGGAGGTAAACTTTCAAGGCTCTTCTTTTGTCATAGCATTATTCATAATAAACATTTGTTTATGGCTTCATTGCATAAAACAATGGTTATCCACTTGCTAAAAGTTGCAGAGAAGCTTTGAGGAGAAGGAACAAATGAACTGGAGCGCATCCTCATAGTTATGAAATGTGTAGTTTCCAAAGCGCCAAGTGTGCAGTTGCCTTCAACTCCGCCCATGCTGACGTCATATGGAATGGCAATGCAGTTTCAAGCATCAGGTATTCAGTGTGAGCACAAAATTGCAAGAAAGTGTAGAACAATCTTCAGAACTACACTCAGACTTTATTATGACAAAGTTGCATTTTACATGAAAATAAGTTAGTTATATCCAAAAATTCATTATAAAGGTATGTTCCTAATACTATTGTTTATTTACTTTGTTATAACCGATATTTTGTTATATCTGAATTCATTATATTGAGGTTTCGGCATAACAGAAAATCCATCTAAGCAAAGTATGGGGGGTATTATTTGTAGTAATTATGATATGAATGCGAAGAAACTAAAGTGGCCGAAAAGGCAGCTTGCTGTCGGCAGGTACTGAACCTGCGGCCGTCGTGTCCGATGCCCAACCAACTGATATACAGTGTTGGCAGTCCTCCCGTCCACTTTAGGGGATATATATGTGCATTTTAAATCTGGGTGTGTTAGTTGGCTAGCCATGACATTGATTGTGGAACACTTTTTTTTTTCTGCCTGTTGGTGCCATGTAGCATATGGTTTTATTAGAAGCTGGCAGATGACCAATAATTTCTTGCATGTTACCTGATGGCATCAAGTCTGCCTGAACGAGACCCTCACTATGAATCAAGAAGTGTAAATTTAAGGGCTAATTTTTTTTTGTTAGACACAGTATTAATGAGAATTATCCGACAACCCTACCAAGGAAATTACATAGGATAATTTGCAGTAGTTATGGTATAAATACAAAGAAATTAAAGTGTACCAAACCAAAAAAAAGAACTTGCCGTCAGCAGGGACCGAACCTGTAACCTTTACATAACATGTCCAATTCTCTAGCAATTGAGTGCCAAAAAGGGCAAAGGTACAGATTGGCAGGCTCAAAAAAATTAGGTACACAGACTGTGTGCATACGTTGGTTTGTGAGAAGCTCATGCAAAATTAGAAACGTGCTGCAAAGCGTCAAGACGCGGCACCAGTGACAGAAAAAGGAAGGAAAAAAGTAGATGTAGTACCATATATCCACCATCTGTCTCCCATCAAGTTTTTTCTTCCAACTGAAAAGTGGTAGCATCTGCACATCAGTAAAAAAATGTATAGGAAAACGTGCAAACGCAAAAGATGCCTTCCCTGTAAGACACACTATGTTTGTGCCGTGCACCGTTGCAGTAGTGGATAGCATCCCCCTCACCTGTGACCAAGTGGGACAGTCAGGACGATTGGGCTCTTTCATATCTTGAAAGCTTGATCGCAACTGCCTTATCTATTTGCTGCACTTCTTCATTTGAAATGCTCAGGCCTGGTGAGAAGCCTGTTGATGTGACACATTGTGTCTTTTAGTAAATTGCGACAGTGGTATTACAGGACTCCTGACACTGAATTTGGAAACTCGAGATGCTCGTTCGTGTTGTTTGAGACTCTTGCATGCATGGCCAGATCTGACCAATTATAAGTGACAAGCATTGCCTATAAAATATTTTAATTTGGTTTTAAAGTAAGGAGGCTGTGGTTTGACGTAGGCAGGGGGCCTCCTCGTGATGTTGCAGAGGTAAAGCAAGCATCGTTGGTGTCAGAGAACATTTGCGGGGTGTGCACAGTACCCCGACTGGCACCTGGCGAGGACTATTGTTTGTCGCCCCTCTTGCTTTGTTGTCGAGCTGCTCTCAAGGGGGTTTTGGCTGCTTATGCCAGAAATGCTTTTCTTTTTTCTGAGGGGACACGCTCATGCATCCACATGGTTTCATTCTTCACCACCCGCGGGTCTCCTTATTTAAAAACGGCGTGTTCAGCATCACTGAAGCTTGAGCGCACGTACTGTCAGGTGCTGCCCCACTTAGGGGTACTAGTTTCGTATGGTATTTAGGTGGGCATTTCGAGCTGATACAGATTCGTTTTCAATTGACGATGCTAGCATGAAATATACAATGCATTAGAGCGTTTATAATTCAATTTGGGCATTACCATACGCAAAGCTACAAAAAACTGTAAAAAAGTCGCAAACAAAATTCTTGTTGTTAGGGGTTTTTTAAATGGGAAATAGTGCAAAAAAAGTTAATACTTGGTTATGCATCTTTCATATTCAATGCATGTATAAGCATGGGTATTCCATCAAACCATGGATTCTTAGCTCTAAACTGGATCTCCAAAATTTCATTATTGCTGCTCCAGAACTCTAAAAGGCAACTTCATCGCTGTGTATGGCACAGAAAAGCACCTCCTGTATATTAGAAGATGACGAAACATGGCAGGCCTTGCAGTAATTTATTTTTAATTGTTTGCTGTATTTTTATGATGTTTCATTTCATGAAATTTTGGTATGAATGCAGTTCAGCAGACCAGTATTGATTGGCTTGAAATCGATAGTGGTAAAACAGCTCCAGCTTGCACTCCTTTGCTGTCGTGGCTCTCACTCGATGCTGTTCAGGCTGTTAAAAAGAAATGTACAGCTGACAACACATTTCTGAGATTTTCAGGGGCGAAGCTCCTGTAATCTAACCTTGTCACTAGTCACGTGTAGTCACGTGTAAAGAAGAGACGAGAAAAAGAAGTGGATGACCATTTCTTGTCTCATTTCCTAGATGTCGTTACTCTGCCACTACTCTCCGATTGGCTGCTGCGTGCCCTTTGCCTGAAAGCGCAAACGAGTGCCTCTCTCATTCTTTTGTATCGTCGCCGTACGTGGTGGATCATTGGTGGGGCATAGACGGAGCAGAGTGACGGGCGCGTTGAAGATGCTTGCGCTTGGTTCTCTTGGAATGCGTCTCATCAGTGTTACCCGTGCGCTGTGTGCATAGTGCGTGAACGAGGGCCTCTGTCAATCTCCTGGGTAGTCGTCGTACATGGCAGATCGTTGGTAAGGCATAGACGGAGCAGAGCAGCGGGCACGTTGAAGACGCTTGCACTCGACTTCCTTGGCTTGCGTCTCGTCGGTGTTACCTGCGTGTCGTCTGCATTCTCGAACGCGATCGGACGCATGGACGCATGCATGGACGGATGCTTCTCCCCACTCATCATCATTCACTCCGTGGATATGCTGTGATTTTTTGATGCTCAGGAGGGCACGCAACACTCATGGGGACAATGAAAAAAACTCGTAAACAAGGGTTGCGGGCTCGAGTCGTAGGCAGCCACTTTTTCTTTCAAACTACTGGGTCTATCAGGCTTGTTAAAAAATTATTGCCATGTTGGGGGAAGAAAAACTAGCTATTATTCTGTAAGTTGGATGGCACAGTGTGCTCATGTGTGTGGCAGGCGGCCAGGATAACAAGCACTCTAAACCATTCTTTATAGACTAAACAGCCCAACAAATACAGTAGGGATAGGAGAGGGTGTAGCCAGAAATTTTCGTGGGGAGGGGGGAGTTATTTCCCTTCCCCTTTATGTATGATCGTATGCGTGTTTGAATGTCTTTGCATATATATGCAAAAGCAATGTGTAAACATTTAAAGGGTGTTTGAACCCCTAAAACCACCCTTACTGACTAAACCACTGGAATAAATTGAAGCTTCTGGCAATACAGGGGCATATTGCCAACTGTTATAATGCCTCTGCATGGTAATGGTTGAGCTGAGTTTCAAAGATTGTGTGCTTTTGTGTGTAGCTTGGTATGTCTAGGCTTGTGGGTTGGTACAGAGGCTCTTGTAGAGGTGCATGCACTGTACTTGGTGACAACTTATCTTGACATTGGAGTGAAAGCAACGGACGCGGGGCTTCTGCATATTCGTGTTCCTTTGCGAGTAGTATGGCAGCTTGCAGTTGATTTTGGTTGTGCTCGCTCACATCGTTAGTGCATTCAGAATATTATAGACCAAAAAATTGTGTGGGAGAAACATTTAGATGGTTCATCGTACATTTTAAACCCATATTACGAGTATATATATATATATATATTTTGGAGAGTTGAATAATGCGTTTGCGACCGCTCACTGACCCACTACGTCATAGGTGTCATGTTTACATAGGAAAACTGAAAACAAGGTGTTTGTGCCAGAGAAATCGATAGAAAAAGAGGGCATTCTTGAAAAGGGAACAATAACTGTATTTTACTGACAATTTCAGGCAACTGTACGAGTGTCATAATAATTAAAGCGGTATTTATTTCAGCAAAGCAAATGAGAAATTATTGGTAAACTTAAGTACTATCTTTTGGAGTGGTAGGAGGCATGGACTTCATTTCTTAACTTCTGCAGTGCTGTGAAGAAAAGTTGTCACCGAGTATAGCCATTCTTCTAACCATTTCTCTGACCCTTTTTTATAAATCCTTGAAACACCTGCTCCATCTTGTATCACGCAGTGGCCATTTGTCCAGGCCACCACTTTCCTGCAAAACACGTCATCCACTGCCATGTACCTTCTGGTGCCAATGCAATTGAACACCTTGAGAAGTGTGTTCGCAACTGCCTCGAATTGGCTGATGACAAGAACATCCGTGTTCTCGCAATCCCACCGTTGATAACTCACAAGTACGTTCCTTTGCCCTTTATCAAGCCCTGTGTACTATTTTAAAGAGTTCTTGCTATTTTTTTTACATGTACTGCTTATCTACGTTATCAAACTTCACAATTTTGGTAAATGGTATATAGTTTTTAAAATAGAGAAGGCGATGTCCCACATAGACTTTATCAGTAACTTGTTCTTCTTACAGGCCGTGTTGCAAGCAAGTTATTAATCTAGAACTGTTTGAACATTTCCCATAGAAGTTTTTAGCATTAAAGCTGCATAAATATTCAAAAGCAGTGTCTTTTTGTGTGTAATGCAATAATTAACAAACTATGTCGTTTGTAATGCTTTGTGGTCTTTTTTAGCACAGCATGCTGTTTACCTCACCACGATTTGATGGGCACATTTTCATGTACAAAAAGTCATAGCAAAGTAGTATGTCCTATCATTTTTACATGAAAGGTTGCCTGTGAAATATCTATTCTCTCTCAACCAATGTTTGCTCATCTTTCATTTTTCATAGACCAGGCGTGCCTATGCAGCGTTTGGCAATTCTGTTAAGTAAAGATTGTGGCACAAGGTTACGTGCTAAATTACTAAGCAAAATATGCAAAGTGTTTAATGGTGTTAAGGTTGGCAAGTTAGAAGAGTTTGGTACATCATAAGCCTCATTAAAGAGACCCTGAAATGGTTTTGACAATTTTAACAAACCCATTGGGCTGGTAGACCAAATTTTAAGGATAATTTACTGATTGATTTGTGCTCTCAGCGTAAACTATGTAATTCGTTACAATTCATTAAAGCTGAAAATCGCTGCAGATCACTGAGGCTCAGCCAAACGCGTTTTGAACCGCCCATTCACAGTACAACATCCTCTGGTAGCACAACGTCACCCAAACTCCTGATCTGATTGGCTGTGGAATGCGCTGAAGTAAGATTGGCTGGTAGGATGGTGGCACCCGTCAGACCAGATATCAACCACTCCGCGGTGTTCATCTCAGTTGCCAGACGGCGTGCGGGCTGCTGGGTGCACTGGGCTATGGTCTCTGATATTGCGCTCAATGTGTCAGTGTGCAATCTTGAAGGCCGTGACCGCGCAAAGCTCGAACTGTCAAGTGTGCTCATGAGAACGCTGCGATCGCTAGGAATGGCAGTACCGTAAATACCCGCGTATAATACGAGGTTTTGTCCAGATATCAGCGTTCCAAATTTCCGCTTCGTACTATGTGCGGATCCGAACAAAAACTTGCTCGAAAAACGAAGTTGTGCTTGATGTTTCGGTTTCGTAACTGCCGCTTGGCTACGGCTTCGTTTTGTCTACAAGTGGCTACGGCTTGGCTTTGTTATCTTCGCGCCCTCGCGTGGCAAAAGTGAGCGCTAGCGCCATTTCTTTCTTTCTTGTTGAGTTTTTTGAGTGCTTGTATAGCGGACGGATTACATAGATGAAGTATATATAAACATTCTGGAAAAAATTTACAGGGGATCAACTGCTACCATAGTGCTTCATAAAGAAAGCAACAGAATGCCAATCAAGAAGGGTGTAAGGCAGGGGGACACAATCTCCCCAATGCTATTTACCGCGTGCTTACAGGAGGTTTTCAGAAGCCTAGAATGGGAACAGTTAGGGATAAGAGTTAACATCTCCTTGAAGCTGTACAGCATATGTTGCTCTTCCTTTCAGCACCTCACCATCACAGAAGCAACTTGCAGCACAAGCAGTGCTGCGGGCGATTTCCAGCTACTTCGTCAATGTCATGGGAAGTTCGCTGAAGCAAGTCCTGTTCGTCTTGTCCGACATGGAGAGCATTGGCATTTATGCCAGTGAGCTGGCAAAGCTGGACTCCTAGACTGCTACCTTCATCGCTCCTAAGAGTGGTCCTCATTTGGTCCATCTAGAGTTACCCAAAGAGGCACCTGTACTTCAATGAGAACTAAGAAACACAAGATTCACATGCACACACATACACAAAAATCTCATCTTTCGTAAACATTGCGTGTGCTTACACTCTTGCAGGCTCTACTGACTCGTCGCTAAGTGATGGCCGAACACTGCTTCATATTTTTTTTTAATAGCAAACAATTGTATGTTTTACAATGCTGTGTTGAGCTCATCAGATGTAAAATTGTGAGTTATCAGCGGTAACTCACCTTTTGAGAGTAGGCCAAACACTCTTATTTTACACTTTTTTTTTTCAACATATTTGCCACCACTGCCAGCCAACTTTCATTATGCTGCTGAGTATTATTGTCAATTTTCTTAATAAGCTGTGTAATTCAGTGTGTGTGTGTGCATTTCTTAATCAAAACTCACTGTCACCTTCAACTTAGTCAAATCTGTTAGTGCTAATTTATAGTTGTTCAAAAATTCAGTACTGCCTTTTTGAAGCATATGTGTATTGCTCTCGCTTGTTGGCATGTGAGTACTTGCTGATTTATTCAGTGTTGTAAAAATGTAAACATGCGCGGTTTCTGGACATTTATACTCTGTTTCAACCTAAGAAAAAGTCAGGAGCCCTTTTCTCATCTGGGAAATAAAGGCAAGCGAAGCTTGGTGTAGGCATGCCTAACCTGCTGCCCTTGTTTCCTTCTCTTTCTTTCACATTCCGCTATCTTGCCTCCTTATTTAAGTGTTCAGTTTTACTATAGACACTTTCACTGTTTACAAACACAGACCCGTGATGAAATCTGGTTTTGTCCACCAGTGTGCCTTAATAGCATCGGTGGCCAAGAGGAACTTTAGAAAATAGCCCGCTCATTTTTTACACTTTCTTTTCCTTATTTGGCAAAATATATTCAAATAAATGTTCTTTTGAGCCACATAAAAATGCTAAAAGATTCCTTTGACCTTTACGTACATTCCTTTTATCTAAAGAACAAAAGAGAGTCTTACCTTACCATTGAAAAAAAACTTGAGAATGTGCTTTCAGTTTCAAAGATAGGCGCTGGTAAATAAGGTGACCGGAAGTTTCTTGGGGTACAACGCTTGCAATTTTAAAACCGTCTATAGGTAGTGGCTGTTCCCAGAATGCTGTTTTGGGGCTTAATACGCATGGTGTCTTTTGTGTTCTTTCCAGTGCTTGCCAGACTGTAGAACAGCTTCACAAAAGTACCAGGGTTCAAACCCAAAAAAATGTTTATTTTGTTTTCTTTATTATTTGTCTGGTGTGGTTCAGTTGTGGGTGAGGAGGTTTTTCGGGTGAGCGCACCTAGGGCTTTTTTCACAGCAGGGTGTTTGTTGGAAAAGCGCCAATTTCACAGTTCCAGGGGTGCAACAGCAGGGCCAATTGCGCCACTTTGATACAAATCCCCATTTCTACGCCAGAACCATGAAATTTGCTGAAATTGCACCAGGCTGCACCCAAATGCCCGACTAGCCTCAAACTTTTCTCACTTGTGCTAATTTTAGCGAGAAATGGAGGCTACGTTGGTCACTGGCAGTTTGCGTCATCAATCAATCCAAGTGCGCAGACCCTAACCCTAAACCGCAGTGTCAGATGCATTCTCATTAAGTCGGAGCACTCACAAGATGCTATCGACGAGCTAAAGTAATGAAGCCGCATGCTGATTTGTCCACCGACCGCAGTGGATACCTATCGGCGGGACGGCGCGACTTCTAGACAAAAATGTGTTACCGTAGCCACCAATGCTTCGCGGGAAATAAGAACTTCCTAGTCAGCAAACATACCTATGGCATATTAGCAGCTAGAGCGGGAAGCACATACTGCGTTTCTCGCGTGCGAACGGAGTCGACAAGCTGCGAATGCTGGCGTTGCGACCACATTGGGTGCCATAGCAAAGGCATATAACACATTTTTCTGCCTTTAAGTTGTTTTAGTTACCTCCTTCTGGCGATAAATATCAAATACTCGATCAACGGGCACGTGCCTTTGTTACTTTATTTTGTAGAACGCGTCTTGCAAGTGATCTGATAAGCTGTAGCCTAAAGCTAATCTCATCATAAGAAAGAAAAGAGGGGAAGGGACGTAGTGGGGTTCAAAAATTTCTTGGCTGTGCTCTAACCCGTGCAGAATGCTGCTTAAGGCACCTTCGCCACAGTGCACCAGTGCTGTGCAAAAAAGCGTATCGTGATTTGGAAGGGGCTCTCAGCACTAGTCTCCGGACACAGCTCATTTTGTTCAATTACTCATGCGTAACATAACTGTCAATACTAGTATGATTGCTGACTGCTAAAAATGCTATGGGTAATTATTTGGAGCAGTGTATGACATTGCTGGCGCCTTTAAAGAAAACTCCGTGCCAGGTTTTTTTTTTTTTTTTTTTTTTTGTCATCGTTATTCCTCAGTTTCACTGATTCCCTGTTTTTCAAAGTAGCCAGTTTGGCAGATCTACATTTGAATTCGCAGAGTCTGTCTAGTTATTTGAAAGATGCGGCAAATGCTAATGTGGACTTCATCATTTATCTTTGTTCAGTGAGATGGTTGAAAATACTACTTTATTGAAATAATAATGCACTCTGTACGATTCAGGGTATGATGAATGGTTTGTACATATGCTTTTTATTCTGATTGTAAGCCTTCTCTTTTTGTACCTCTCCAAATTTGGTTCATCGTGATAAAAATTTCTTTCCTGGAACCTGCTCTAAATTTTCATTTTAGTGCTCCAAAAGTAAAACTTTACTGCTCCGAAAATTGCTTCAAATTCTGTTTCGGCTGTTGCACCCCTGCAGGTCAGTCACTACAAGCTGCACTTGAAAAATGTCAGCTCTGCCTGCAGAAATCCAGCTTGTCTGCCCTTCTCTTGTGAAGAACATTTGTGCTGGTTGGTTTCCACTTGAACTGATAGTACTTTTCTCAGCTAATATAGATACTATATATGTTAGGAGCTAAAGGCTGTTGTTACTACCTAAACCTTTACGATTGGCCCAGCAGCGACATGACAAATTCCTCGTAGCAGTTACAGTGCACAACTGCGGTCCTGAAGGTCGCGAGGTCGATGCTGGCTGCAGCGGTCACATTTCGATAAAGGTGAAATGGTAGAGGCCCCTCTACTATGCGATGTCAGTGCACATTAAAAAACACCATGGTCAAAATTTTCTAATTCTCCACTACGGTGTCTGTCATAATCATATGGTAGTTTTGGGACATTAAATCTCAGATACCATATTTACTCGCATAATAAATGCCCCCCCAACCTTAGTCATCAAAATTTAGATTTTTTTCTGGCGTAACAAGCACACCCCCTTCATTCATCCCCTACAGTCTCACAAACAGGCACATGGCGCCTTCTTGCACATTGATCTTTCCAGTTTTTTATTCCTTGGTTCGCTTCCAACCCCCCTTCGTTCGCTACAGCGCATAGTTTTGTTTTTCTTTTACCGATGCACGGCACATCCCGTCTTTTTAAATAATTCGTGCACCATAGCGGGATCTATGAACGATGCTAGTGTAAGACATTGCGGCTCACAAGCACACAGCGAGCGAACGTTACGAAACTACCCGCACCAGCCGATGGTCGCTTCATGCAAATGCGAAATTTTAACGACAGAATTCGAAGTCGTGAAGGGCCATCTATCGCTGTCGCAGGCATGCCTTAAGTTTCTGGAAAACCAAAAAGAATCACTTCTTGCCGAGAAAATAGCATGATGATTGCAGTAATATGGTAGCACCCCTGATCTTCGTTTCGGATCCAATTTGCTCTTCATGCTTCTTATCCCTGCATACTGCAAGGAATGCAAGATATAGGCTACCTTTTTTGCAGTCGCATCTCATGGTTAATTTTGATGCTTCACCGGTTGCTTGCTGCAACGTGAACATCGTCATCATGCGAGTCTGCCACGGAGTTTGCAAAGTCTGTCGTAGCGTCGACGCCTTTTGCAAAACAGTGTACGCGTATGTCAATTGTGAAAGGTTAAACTCTACCTAACTTATCTTCTTTTGCATTGCCTCATTTTTAGCTCATCCCAAAAAAGTTTTTGTAAAATTTGCCCTGCATAATAAGCACACCCCCTAATTTTGCTTTGATTTTTTTGGGGGAAAAAGTGCATTCTTCATGCGAGTAATTACTAATTGCTACAAATTCCTGGTGAAATTTACCAAGACGTTCAAGTTTTTTATCTAAAACGAGAAACTCAAGTGTGTGTCTGTAGAAGAAGTCAACAACTACCTGAAACTCTTGAGGAGTGCTTGACGTCATTAAAATGGGTAAGTGCCATTGGATGGAGCAATTACACTAATTCTCTGTGGGAAAGACAGCAATGGCTGTGTGCAGAGCTTATGTTATTTTGTTAGGTTGTTACTGAGTGTGAGAACAGGGCCTGTGAGGTCTACTAGCAAGAAATTCTGTAATAATAGCTTTACTTTGATTTACTAGATTTGTGCTAGTGAAGCGATTCTGCAAGTACATTGTGAATAATTATGAGTGAAGAATTTTGTACTGCGCAAATGGCATGTGAAGGGACCAGGTCGTCATTGAGTAAGTTGAAACATTAAGCAGTGCCTGGTTGCCATAAATACTACATATGTCTCATTGGCGATTGCTACAAATGTGGCGGTCATGCTATAACCCGTCAAATTTGTCCTTTTTCTTGCCATTGACCCCAATATTAGTGCTGGATAAGTGTGCTTTTATAGTAATGGGTGGTGTTGCAGATGTAAAATAGCATACTTATGTACTATTATGCTATGCCATGGAATGGACAAACACTCACCCCTTCCCCCTCTGTGCTCTGCATACGTAAGTCTTGGCAGACCCTGGCAAATTTAATTGTAGCTGGAGGCATTGCTGCATCTGTGTTCTCTAGCTGGGTGTAACTCTAGCTGTACTCCTGAAATATTGTTAAACTCGCTTTAAAGGGGCCCTTTGTCGCAAATTGTGCATTACTTTTAATAGGTATTCTTGGTGCTGTGGAATGCGCCGATATTGTTGCACAAGTGGCAACTTCGAAATCGAAGGTGTTAGTAATTTTAATTCACGGGTCCTTGATTTCATACTATGGTGACACACATCGGCTATTTTTTGTTATGTGAGGTAACATCACTCATGTGACAGTGATGACAAAGGCCATTATCATTTATAACAGTACAGTGCACCACGACAAGGACACAAAAAAGAGAGACGCACACACACACACAGTGCTTTTTTGTGTCCTTGTCGTGGTGGGGTATACCCTTATAAATGATGAACCCCAACCAACTAGCCTGGCAACATGTCTTAGCAAAGGCAATTAGTTTTTAATTTGCTACAGCACCATGCTGCAGTTATTTCCTTTACTCCTTTTTATTGGAAATATAAACCTGCAAGTGTAATAGCTGCAAGGCAGAAGTCAAACATTTAATATCAGTACCTAACTTTGCTTTATCTACTTAATATGCTCCATTCCCACAAGAGAGCATTGTGGTAGCTGTCTGGCAGATTCTGTTGTATACAGAAAGTTTATCTTACTGGGAATATAACAGAAGGTGTCACTTTATTGAATGTCAAAGAAGAAAATAGTGGGGACTTCTCTATGTACTGTAACTAAAGAGTGTTAAAGAAGTAGGAGGTGATCCCTCTTTTGTCCTATTTTCTTTGTGTTCTGTTACCTTGGTAGTCATTGCTATTAACACACTATTTAATTGTGCACAAATTACTTATGTGAGTAGTAACCTCACAACTGAAATGTAATGCGAACAAATCTGATGATTGCATTTAAACTTGTCTCTTGTTGTGGGAAGAAGTGATTTCAGAGCATTTAAGTGTCATAGTTCTGTGTATCTATTGGGAATAGCTTTTATCATTACTGAAAGCATTTTGCAGTGCTATTTCAGTGTAGCTGTAGAACCTTTTAGACATTTCTGACAACTTAAAGCATCTGGCATTGGATATGATTTGGCTTATCTACATTTGCATATGACATTTAAAGTGGGACATTTGAAGTGTGCGTATGTACATGAACTTGTTTTTTAAATTTGCCTCTCATACCCTTTTGTGCAATTCGGCCTCATAAATAT